TCCATGGATCACATCCCACAGTCTGCTTGGTTATTTGGGAGAGTAAATGGCGATCCCACGTGTACCCAGGAGCATCTCTGGTTCCTGCAGCGAAACCGTCTTATAAGGAAGAAGCCGGAGTAGCCCCATGCCAAGGTGGAGAGGTCCGCAGACAGCTTGCCATTGCCTGCCTCCCCCAGAAATCCTGTCAAACAGCAAAACAGCTCTGTTGGGCAGCTGCCTGGTGGTTCTGTGTGGCTAACGAAGCCAGAGGAGCTCTGAGCAAAATGCTTGGTGTGAAGCCTCCAGCCAAGCGAAATGCCTGATTTCCACTTCTTGCCCATCCTGCAGCCTGAACCAAGAGGGCAGAGACCACAGGGTGAATTTCAGGTGAAATCTGCACCAGTGTGCTGTTCGCATGCAAAGAAAAAGAGTATCTGCCAGCAAAGTGTGTTTTCTGGAGCATCCCCCCCAACACTCCCTTCTCCCCTGGGAATGTTTTACCCCCTGTGCATCCTGTGCTCTTCTCCTAGGCTAACACAGCATCAGCTGGGACCTATGAGGGGGGAAACTGAGGCAGGCTGATTTAGCCCTACCACCTCTCTCCATCCTGGCTCTTCACGGCAAAATTGTCCTTCCTATTTTGGCACAGCCTGATGCGGAGATGCTCTTGGCCGTGAGGCCAAAGGCATGACCTCATGGCATGCAGGGCTGGAGGCTCAGCTGGTGCTGTGGAAAAGGGATGAAAACACAGGAGGGGAAAAAGAGTGTATGTTAGATAGCTGGAGCTGCAAGCTATTTGGTTCAGGTGTAGCCAGTCACAGCCCATCACTGGTTGTCTCAGGGCTGGGAGATGGAGGTGGGACCAACCTGCACCTGGGAGCCTTGAGCTGTGGGAGAGCACTATGGACAGTCCCATCCTGCTGCTGGGGACGAAACAGCCTGGCCTTTCCCCAGCCTTCTTTTCCCTGGCAGAACTGCTAAATAAATGTGTCTGGAGGGAACAGGAGCGGCTGCAATCAAGCGAGTGAGGAGCTCAGCTTGTTATTTAAGAGGCAGCTTTCCGGCTGCAGAGAGGAGCTGTGTAAGGTGTATAAATGCAGGGGCTTACAAACCAGTGCACAGGTAAGGAGGGACCCAAACATACCAGTTTTTAAAACCTAATGGGTTTGACACCGAATTCCTGGTTCGGGGAGGCCTGGCAGGGTAGCACCCTGGCTTTTTGCAAACGGAGGCCAGATCCTGACAGCTCTGTGCATGGCAGCGACTCTCCAGCAAGCTCCACTGGTGTCAGTGTTGTTCTTTGCAGGGGAAAGCGCTGCAAGGTAATCAAATGCTGGCCCCCAGTTATTAACCTTCTTAATCACCTCCATTGAGCGCCTTAATTGCTGAACAGGGATGGGAGGACCTGGCTGCTTCCACCCGAGATTAACATGCAGCCTGGCAGTCCCCTTCTGTCCATCCCCGGGGGGGCACGCTGCTGCTGCTCTTTCTCTAACTCACCCACTTGTCCCGAAAAAAGGTAGAAGTGGTTTTCTCCCAAAATACAACAATTTATCAGCAAAATTCAGGGAACGACCCCTGTCTTTTTCTGCACTCGGTCAAAGAGGTGGTGCAGCCCCATGTTGTGGGGAGCCAGTGGCCAGGGATGTGCTTGGCATTGCTGTCGCTCCTCATCTGCTGGCCCCTGCATTGCCCAATGGGATGGTTTCGCTGAGAAGGCACTGTGCCGGCTGCCTGGCTGGGAACGCTGTGCATTCGCTCCTGACAGGAATCAGCGATTTGGGCCAAACTCGGTGCTTTTGGGCAATACATAAAGAAATCTTACTGGGGGGCTGCGAGGAGGGGAGGCTCCAGTGGCCACCCTGCCTGCCAGCTCAGGGGGCAACCATCAAAGTTGCAAAGTGTTGATAGCGCATCCCTCCAGCTGCCTGCCTGCCCCTTTTTGCCTTTTTTTTGCATTAGATTGAAAGTAAACAGCCTTCATCCACCTCTGTCCCTGCACATGGAACCATTACTCTCAGGGCATCACCTGCCTGCCTCTGGAGCCAGCCACCAATGTAGAAAAGCCCGGCGTCAGTCCCCTGCCAGGTGGAAGCTGCTCCATCATGTCTTGACCAACGGCTCCTTGAGATGCTACCAGACGTCCTGACAGCTCTTGTATTCATGTTCAGGCGACTTTAGGATGTGTGACTGGTTAAGGGCGCCAAAAAGCATGGTAGGAAATCTTCTGTCTGGGGGAGACAGAGGATGGAGCTGAGAAACATTAGCCTGATGCATGACCCCTGTGACGATGGGGAGAAGAAGTGATGTGACGGCCCAGAAAGATGTGTAGCAGAAACCAAAATAGTCTTTCCAGCTGGGAAGCCTCCCAGCAGCCCTGCCTGCTCGGGAGCAGGCAGCACTACCAGCCCTCCCGCCTATACCCTCCTCATCCCCGGGCAGATGTCTGCTGGCTTCCCCTGGGGAGCCGAGATGATGGCTTTGACTTCTCTTTTCCTCCTGGTGTGTTTAATTGCCTGATTTTTTTTTCCCTTTAGGACTGGCAGACAAGGGAGGAGATGTGGGCAAAGGAAGACAGATGTATGGAGAAGTCCGGGTGACAGATTGAGGGATGCTATAACCACAATAGCTGTCCTGATGGATTGATAGATTAGACAGGGAATATAAATAGCAAGCATGGTTTATCTACCCGGTTTTATTTTCCTCTCGCTTATCTCTTTATCTCTCCTAGTGTTATTTTCCTCCTGCTTATCTCTTTATCTGTCCAACCTGAGGATGGAGGAGAGGGGGGAACAAGCGGGTGACAGAAGCAGGATGGGTGAGTTTGGGTTACCACTGCTTTCGCAGCATCCAAGCAGGCAAGTTTCGCCAGCCAGGGAGGATTAGGAAGTGGACTCAGATCTACACACCGATAGACTTTCCCCCTCCTCCCCATCTCTTTTTCCCTGCACCCTGCCCATCCCCACCGCATGCATTCCCTGCTTTGGGGATGCTGCGGGTTGGAGGGTCGGTTCCTTCCTCTCTCTAGTCTGTCCTCAGCCAAGAAATTAGGGCAGCCACTGAGGCGGTGAGCTCTGCTTGTCTGGATACCCAGCGTTTCCATCTGACAGCCGGGCAACGCCGCTGCTTGATATTCTGGTCGGGCACCGAGCACGGCAGCAGCAGCACCAGGGAAGGAGGGAGGGGAACCTGGCTCCACCGAGCCGTCAGCTGCCAGCTTGCCTGCCCCTGCCGCCTGGCTCTTCACCGCAGCTCGCCAGGCTGAACTGAGCAGGTGCTGGAGATGCTGCTGGCTCCCTGGCAGTGGGGCCGCTGGAGATGCTGGCCTCAGGGAAACCCACTGGCACTCGATGCTTGCACTGAATGTAGCAGAGGGAGGTGTCTGGGATGGGTTGCACCTGGTTTGGGGACCTTTCTAAGGGGATGATGAATGAGAATGCCTTGAGGAGGTCAACGAGGATACCAGAAGTACAGAGCAACCTACATATATGGACCAGGCAAGGGAGCTAGAACACAGAGATGACTGTCTTACCCGTCTATACAATTGTAACTGGCCAGAAAGGGTGGCTGGGGGTCAGGTATTCCCTGTCTCATCCCATACCAGAGTTAAAGAACATCAGGTGAACCTCCCAAGGGCCATGCTTGATATGCCCAAAGAGGTGGTACGTGCCACAGTGGGCGACTGAGCTGCAGCACTGCTCACCCTGGGGCATGGTGGATGTTTACATCGGACCAGGAGGAGGTTGGACATGAGATGTAGCTGGTGCCACATGGGTCCTTCCCACCAGCTCAGGGATGTGTCGCATCTGCTCTGGGCACCCCACTGGGAGCAAAAGTGAGAGCTGGGGGAAGCAGGCAGGAGCTGCCTGCTCCAGGTGTGGGCAGGATCCCTCCCTGCCTCCAGGTACGTCTGATGGTCTTAATGGGACACCTCGGAGCCCTGTCCCTCCAAGTTAATGAAGATGTGGACAGGAGACAGGTGTCACCTCCCCTCCTCGGGAGGCTCAGCTAAAATCCAGAGAGCAGGATGGTGCGGAGACACAGCAGGGACATGGCAGCCAGGCACACGTGGAAGCCTCCTCACCATCCCCTCCTGCCACACAGCAAGGGAAAAGCCAGGGCCAGAGATGACAGTAACTGTTTTGTTTTTGGTTTTTTTTTTCCTCTCGGTTGTTTTTGGTTGCTCTTTTGCTCATAAAAGGCATTTTTTAAAAAATATATTAAACAGATGATACATTCTACTAAGATGTCTCTTGGCTGGAGCCACCAACAAGAAATGACCCTCCCCAAATAAATAGACTTAAAAAAACCCCTCCCAAACAAAACAAATAAATAAATAAATAAAACTTTTTTCTTTCTTTCTTTTTCTTTCTTTCTTTTGTTTTAGGTTTTGGGGTTTTTTTTGTAAGGAACTGTGGCCCAGAGGTCTCTGCCAGTGTCCATGACAGCAGTGTCTACAGGGCAGGTGCCAGGTCTTTCCTGTACGAGGGGTGATGATGCCTCAACGGGCACGAGATGCTCGTGGAGAGGCACCGGGAGAGATCTGCTGCATCTCAGAGACCTGCAGCATGGTCCCCCTTGTGTCATGTGCGAGGGCACGGCTGCAGGAAGGGTCACAGGGGATGTAGAAGCGAAGGCGCTGGTAGAAACCTCTCTTAAAAAGACTACAAAAGTTGGGGTGCTGAGGAGACTGCTGCTGGAGGATCCTCATGGTGGGTTGAGCATCTGCTCCGGTGGGGCCAGCAGCTGCTTCTGGCCGAGCTGTATTCCCCCAGCCACCAATGCTTGAGCAAAAGCAGTGCTGCAGGGCAGCCGTGCTGGCATCGTTTCTGCACTTGGAGGCAGTCTGCGCTGCATGAGCTACCCCTCCTCCATAGTCCTGCCGGTGTCCTCCATCTGCTCAAGCCCTGCATCTCTTTGGCCGGTCGCTGGGTTTACCATGGAAGCACGCAGTTGGCACTAAGGTAAGGCCTTGATTTAATTTTTTAGGCTTTTTTCTCCCTGTACCCCCAGGGAGTCCTTTCTCCTGGCCCCCTTGCTCCAACATCTGAGCAGCCCCAGCTGTTAACTGCACAGTTTGCCCGTCTCCTGCTCGACTGCATTGGGCAGCTTGGCATTGAAGGCCCTCAAGGAGGACTGGATCCTCGCCACCTCGTTGTTGGCCAACTTGAGCCTGTGGCGCAGCAAGCAAGTGAAGAGGTCAAGGCGGGTTTTGCCAGGGGGTGACAACCTGTTCACCCGGTCCCTGATCTCCAATAGCTGGAGCATGGCTGAGTCCTGGGAGCCCTGGGTATAGGGGTAGTCCAGCTGAAGGATCAGGTCACGGATAGCATCTGGTTCAAAGGGCAGGCTGTAGCCGAAGACTTGCAAGCTGTTGATTTTCATGTAGCCCAGGTTCTTCGAAGGATCTGCCATCTCCAAGGGTTCATAGTAGATCGTCTCATTGGAGCTGTTGTCCAGAGACTTGATGCGGCTCCGCAAGTAGACATGGACCGTTTCAAAGAAGGTCTTCCATTTGTTGCCCAAGGTGAGCGTCCAGTTTTGGCACTGGGCAGAGGCATCTACATTAGTCCTTTCCCAGTCTGGGAAGCTGCCCTCGTTGACGGGCATGAACCAGCTCTCTGAGTGGCTTCCCCCAAAGGGGTTTACATAGATGGCCATGACGGGCTCCAGCGTGCTATTCTTGGTGAGGCAGATCTGCAGGGAGAGGGCCAACATCACGTGAACCAGCCCGGGCTTGTACTTGTTGCTCTTCAGGGTCAAGAGCATGCGTTTCCTCCAGGAGGGGTCAAACCAGCTCCCAAGGCGCATGTCATTGCTGATGAAGATGGAGTGCACCTCAATGCGGCTGTCCCGTTTCTGCAGGAGGTACTTGAGCTCCAAGTCCTGCAGGTCCGTCTCCAGCCCCAGGTAGTGCTCCAGCGAGTCGGCCACCTCGGGGCGGCAGAAGCCCTGGGTAAGCACGTAGCCGTGGTTGCAGGTCCCACAGCGGGTGCTGTTGTCCTCGGCACAGGTGGCGCAGGCTGGCCCCTCGCCCAAGGCACACGGTATGGACCCCTGGCAGGAGGGCTGGTCGGAGGGACACGTGCAGCTGTGGCTTTCTTCCAGAAAGGTCCCAGGCATGGTGGTCTCGCTGCAGTACAGGAGCGACTGCGCACGGCTCCACCAGTAAGAGAGGGACCTGGTGGAGAAGAGACGCAGGAGGAGAGATGCTTATGTGGCATCTTTACGGCTGCGACCAACTTTCCCTAGGGATGGAAGAGCTGCCCACCTTGCATTCATTTTTCTGCACCGCTGGTGGCCCCACATGAACTGAGCCCCATTTTCCACCTCCAGGCTTGGACCCAACCTCTCAAGGCAACATCCCAGAGTGGCACGGCTGTCCCCGCTGCCTGCTCACCCCTGGGCATCCCTCCAGCAAGGCGGGAGCTCCTCCAGTCCCAGCCACAGGGAGGTGGGCCGTGGGTCTGAGCCCCCCTCAGGGCTCTGAGCAGTGTCCCCAGCATGGGACGGGGATGCTGTGGCACCCTACCTCTCCTTCGGCAGTTTGAAGCGAGGTTGCCGGTGGCAGCGTTTGCTGAGGTTGAAGAGCCTCCGGATGAGTCGGTGGGTTTTCCTGGAGAGCAGCTTCAGGCTGGTGCCCAGCTGCTGGTAGCGATGCTGGACATCCAGGTCCATGGCCCAGAAGTGGGAGATGGCCGTCCTGTTCAGGAAATGGTCCCCGGGGAGCCTCTTCACCAGGGCCTGAAACTCCTCTGCGGGGGAAGAGAGATGGCGTCAGCAGACCCAGCAGGGCGAGCGGTGAAGGTAGGGCTGGAGCCAACCTCCCTCCAACTGGGCTCTCAGGTCTTCATGGTGAGATGATCACCCTGGATCCTGCCCTGGAGGCCCACTGCCCAGCCTGGGCTGCTCCCAGAGGAGGGGCTGTAGGGAGGGGGATGCTTGGTGGGGTCTCCCCAGCCTCACCTGACTCCTCAAACTGGCCGTGGTGGCTCTCCCAGGCTCGCCGGAGCTGGGCCAGGCTGCTCTCCAGTGCCTGGATGTCGGCCTCAGGGCAGTTGCAGCGGGGGAAGGTGGGCTGGCACTGGCAGTGGCAGTCACTCCGGTGGCACACCAGCTCCCCGGTCGAGCTGCAGGCGATGTAGCTGAGGGCGGCCGCCACAAACCGCTCCCGCAGGTAGGAGGGGAGCACCGTCTGCAGCCCTGAGAGCGGGAGGCAGCCCCGAGAGCATCAGGGCACGCCCAGAGCCCCTCGAAAACATCGCCTGGGCGAGGAGGGAGCGAGCCTTTCCCCTTCCCAGGCTCCCACCCTCGCGTGATTTTCATATCAATTTGCTGTGGAGCCGCTTGTCTGGGCTCTGCATCGATCTCGGCTCCTCTTGGCAGACGAGCAACAACCTCATCCTGCCCAGCTTTGATTATTTTCATCCCCCTCTCCTCCCCAGCCCTTAAATTAAAAGCAGCATCTCGAGCCAGCATCCTCCCCTGTGGCCCCCTGCGTGCCTATGAGCATCCCACAGTGGCACTCATCCATCACCACGTTCCCACCAGCCTGGTCCTACCTTGGAGCTGCACTTTGTTCTCGGGGCTCTGCACCAGGACGGAGCTCACCGAGTCCAGGTTGTCGTAGTTGCTGCAGCCAAGTGGCCCTGTCCGTGTTTCGGTCACCTAAGGGGGGGGACCCGCCGGGGGGCAGGGACACAGAAGG